CCGTTCTCCAGCCACACTATTTGGAATGCCCGCCACATTGCCTAGGAAAACTGTCCCTACGTGAAATTGTAGACATTTGGTGATTCCAGTACCCTCTATAGTTACCTTAATTTGTTTTAATTTCTGGTGGTTCGTAACCTTTTTGATATACAGAAGTCTACTTTTTATTGCTTAGGGTAAAGATCTTTTTTAATCTAAAGTAATTTTTCTCGGGTGTGTATATATTTTAATTAATGTTGTTTCGTTTGCGTCTATAACCTGCATGCCTTTCTGTTTCGAAACTGTGTCCTGAGTTCTGTGTAAATTCTTAATTTTGTGAAATTAAGAATGAGTTAATAATATATTCAATATTTTCTGATACGTTTGTTAACACGTGACCGTGAACTTGAGATCGGCGCCCTGACAAGAGGAGACAAATAAATGCGTCAACGTGTCGAAAAGAATGTATCCGGGTCACCTTTGTTCAGAAGGGTTAACCAAAGCAGAGGTTTTGATAAGTTACGACACGGTGTAATTATGATCGATCTCTGTGTAAAACTTATCTCCCAGAAATCAGGAATCTGACAGGTAACAAACTGCATGCCTGTCATATAGGGCCCTATCCAAAGAAAATGGGAAAATTGAAAGTCATGAAAAGTGCCAACCTGGATCTGCAGTGGGCTGTTGGAAAAACAGCAGTGGCTAGGCTCAGTGTAAGAATGGCGGCATCCTATTTACACCTGCGCTTCTGAGAAACTTCTCAAGGGCAGTATTTCTATATAAAAAAAAAACGTGTTGGCCGGATACAGATTCATTTTAAGCGGATACAAATTCGTGTTAGCTGGAAACAGGTTCGAAGATTGGGGGTAAACAATGGACCGATTCCACCGACATTCCGGATGTTAATGCGGAAGTTAAACATCGATCACCAGGGAAAGCGTGTGCACCATGACGACCGTTGCTTTCACGAGTGGGTGTCCGCGAGCGTGAAGTATTCGTGGCAAAAATCTGAGAAGGTTGCAGACCAGTGAATAAGCTGCCATTGACAACAGTGACAAGTACACCTCAGGCCTACTTGAATAAATCAAGACAAAGATAAGTTTCTCAGATTTTTAAGATAACTGATTATAAATTTCCTCATTTTCTTCTCTTCATTTTTGTTCGGTAGCCTCCACTGACGAAAACTGAACATGACTCAGTGTAAGACTATTTAATGTCCCGGACGCACAGCAGTTTAAACAAATTAAGAAAGGTTGAGAAAATTTGTCAGAATCGTGTAGAATATCAGACAAGAAGAAAGGTGATCATTATGCATGGCAGAGTTTTCCGAATATGTTACTACAATAACCGAGTATCAGCCTCCAATATGAGTTCGGCAAATTTCGGTCACTTTCGGAAATTTTCGAAAACGAGAGGAATTTAAATTTTGTGATTTACTAGCGGATGCACTGCAAACAATAATTGACGTCAGCCAGAACCAAACAAGTGGTACGTGCCGTCAGCGCTCAAGGACTCAAGGTCACTATCGAGGGTATAAAATCACTGGCGGACCCATGGAACCAGCCAGAACACTGCTTTTATACCTCAAGACCGGCGAGAACTCCAAGGCAGAAAAGGAATCGCGTAAAACGAATCGTTGGTTCGTCGTATAGAAAGCAGTTTATAACTGTAATGAAGACGAAGATGCTGATTGCTGTCTTCTGTTTTTTGGCCACGGGATGGAATCTTGGAGTGGAGGCTCAAGACGGGGCAGGTATTGTACAGTTGGCGTTTAGATTCATCCGATGGCCTGTAACTTCAAGTGTCACTGATCTTACACAAATCAACTTTGAGTTCGACACGGTTGTTAAATTTTGACGTTATTTTCGGTTCGCTTTTTTCCATCCTCCCCCCCCCTTTGTTATAGATATATCAGGCCTTTTGAAAAGGAAAACGTTGTACTGAAAACTCCAAGTTTCCGTCCTGATAGGCTACATAATGTCCGTAAGTTTGCAGTTGCCATATTTGGCCACCTATTGTGAAGTCTGGTGCTTCTTCACAGTTAAACTAATGTTGTCACGGACATTATACTGGAGAGTGTCACATTCCATGATAAATTTTGATGACCATAATGAAAAAAAAATCATTTGTGAAATATGACGTAAGCAATGTGTGGGCTCGGTATAGGTGAAGCCCCACCCCCTTTTGTATTCGTTGTGTGGGCCGGGCATGGGGGGGGGGAGGATCCCGGAAGATAAGCGGGGCGGTCAAGATGTGAGGATTGAAAAGTAGTCAACCGCAAATGTCATTATGTACGGAACTACAGATTTGTTATAAGAGGCAGTTTGAAGTTATCATGCTCGTTTGGTGTGCTAGGTTACCAGTATCTAATAGAAAAAAATTCAAAAGCTTACTTCGCAATCATTTTTTTTACCCGTGGGTCTTCAATTATGACGGCCAACAACATATAGTCGACAAACACATCAATATATTTCTTGGAATGCCTGTCTCGGCCACGGTGTACACTCGCATGATGCAACTTCCCGCAGTCACGGTGCGGGGTGCCTTGTCTGGGTACCTTGGGTAGAGAAACCGCACTTTCCTGGAGGTTTCGTGCGCAGTGTTTTACCTGTCCGCCAGTTACTATATCCAATTACTGAGGGCCCTGATTTACAGCAACAGATTTCACCTTATGCGGTTTTCAAACTGCATGGGGTGTGGTCGGCACGTCCGACCAGAGCTCTATTCTCTGACCCCGTGGTGCGCTTGTTCAAATAGAACTTGACGTTATTTTCCATATTACATCTTGTAAAGTCACAATATGGCTTATTTGTTTCCCACGTANCTGTTCTCCAGCCACACTATTTGGAATGCCCGCCACATTGCCTGGGAAAACTGTCCCTACTTGAAATTGTAGACATTTGGTGATTCCAGTACCCCCTATAGTTACCTTAATTTGTTTTAATTTCTGGTGGTTCATAACCTTTTTAATATACAGTAGTCTACTTTTTATTGCTTAGGGTAAAGATCTTTTTTAATCTAAAGTAATTTTTCTTGTGTGTGTATATATTTTAATTAATGTTGTTTTGTTTGCGTATAACCTGCGTGCGTTTCTGTTTCGAAACTGTGTCCTGAATTCTGTGTACATTTTTAATGTTGTGAAATTAAGAATTATTAAGAATGAGTTAATAATATATTCAATATTTTCTGATACGTTTGTTAACACGTGACCGTGAACTTGAGATCGGCGCCCTGACAAAACGAGACAATAAATGCGTCAACGTGTCGAAAAGAATGTATCCGGGTCACCGTTGTTCAGAAGGGTTAACAAAAGCAAAGGTTTTGATAAGTTACGACACGGTGTAATTATGATCGATCTCTGTGTTAAACTTATCTCCCAGAAATCAGGAATCTGACAGGTAACAAACTGCATGCCTGTCATACATTCAAAGAAAATGGGAAAATTGAAAGTCATGAAAAGTGCCAACCTGGATCTGCAGTGGACAGTTGGAAAAACAGCAGCGGCTAGGCTCAGTGTAAGAATGACGGCATCCTATTTACACCTGCGCTTCTGAGAAACTACTCAAGGGCAGTATTTTTATGTAAAGAAAAAACGTGTTGGCCGGATACAGATTCATTTTAAGCGGATACAAACTCGTGTTAGCTGGAAACAGGTTCGAAGATTGGGGGTAAACAATGGATCGATTCCACCGACATTCCGGATGTTAATGCGGAAGTTAAACATCGGTCACCAGGGAAAGCGTGTGCACCATGACGACCGTTGCTTTCACGCGTGGGTGTCCGCCAGCGTGAAGTACTCGTGGCAAAAATCTGAGAAGGTTGCAGACCAGTGAATAAGCTGCCATTGACAACAGTGACAAGTACACCTTAGGCCTACTTGAATAAATCAAGACAAAGATAAGTTTCTCAGATGTTTGAAATAACTTATTATAAATTTCCTCATTTTTTTCTCTTCATTTTTGTTCGGTAGCCTCCACTGACGCAAACTCACACACTCTAATTTTAT